CGAATCCTTCGTCTGACAGCAAGGAAATGTCTTGTCTGTGTGTTTATTTGGCAGGAAGTTCCACAAGAAGCTGGGCCAGCAGGCCTGGCTGGTTGCTGCTATTACTGCCACGGAGTTCCTGATCGTGGTCAAGTACGATCCCTACACGCTCACGCTTTCCCTGCCCTTCTACATCACCCAGTGCTGGATCCTGGGGATTATCCTGGTGCTCACCTGGACAGCCTGGCGCTTCTTCATCCGGTCAGTGGGGTGGGATGTGCTGCATCTGGGTTTTAGGGGGGTTTGCTCGACAGCCCCTCCTCAGATGTGCTGTTGTTACTGGAGAGGGAGCACAGCTCTCCTGGGTGGCTGCAGCTGTTAAATGAACAGGGAGCTCTCTGTGCCTGATCCCTGGAAGTTTTCTTTCTGGATCACCTTCTCCCTGCCCATGGAACAAGTTGGCCTTTGAGGTCCCTTCCAGCCCAAACCAGTCTGGGGTTCTGGGAAGCTTTGTGGCCCTGCCTGTGTTTGTGCTGCTGCAGGAGGAGGCAGCAGGGAAGTGCCTGACTGCACCAGTGCTCCCAGGGGAGGGAAGGTGGGAGATGGGATCGGGGTTTTATTTTCCCTCCATGCTAGACTGAGGTGTTTCCAGCTTCATTACCAGAACAGTCTGAGGTTGTCTGAGCTGTCCCAGCATCGGGACAGGGGAGCCAAGTGATGTGTGTTTGGTTTGGATGCTGCTCTGAGCAAGTCCATGGAAAGCAGCTGCACAGGGCTCAAGGAATTGGTAGTCTTCCAGTATCAGAAGGGGCCTACAAGGAAACTGGAGAGGGACTCTGCATATGAGGGAGTGACAGGACAAGGGGCACTGGCTTCACACTGCCAGAGGGCAGGGTTAGTTGGGATATTGGGAAGAAATCCTTCCCGGTGAGGGTGGGGAGGCCCTGGCCCAGGTTGCCCAGAGAAGCTGTGGCTGCCCCATCCCTGAAAGTGTCCAAGGCCTGGTTGGAGCAACCTGGGCTGGTGGAAGGTGTCCCTACCCATGGCAGGGGGTGGGAACTGGATGGGCTTTAAGAGCCCTTCCAACCCGAACCATTCCATGATTCCTTGAACTGCGGCGATGTGTGCAGGAGGCAGCGGTGGCTGTTGTGCTGTGGCAGAGGTGAGAAGAGCCAGGCCACCAGCAAGGAACACAAACCTCCAGTGCCTCAGTGCCATCAGCACTTGTAGAAACGTCAGCCGGAGGCTCCAGTGGGTTAAATTATCCCAAGGGAGCTTCACTCAGGGCAGACTTCCTTGCTGCTCGTGCTGCAGGCTGGAACTGTGTGCCGTGTGTTTGCTGCAGGGACATCACCCTGCGGTACAAGGAGATCCGGCGGCAGAAGCAGGAGCACAGGCACGAGAAGGACAAATGCCTGAGCAACGGGGACCGGCACTCGGCGCCGCTGGATGAGCCCAACGGGAACAGACCCCGGGAGAGGAAACTCTGAGCAGCAGCCGCGGGGCTGACGGGAACTCGTGGTGCTCGAGCGGGCCTGGGGCACAGTCCCAACCTCACCCTAACTCCTAATTGTCATTGTTAGCGTTCCAGCGTGTGGGAATCCCCTGGGGGGGGAAGGATGGCACGGACACCCCCCTTCCTTTCTCCTCCTGTCGTCGGAGAAGGTCTGTGTGGAGGGAAGTCAGAGCCAGCACCGCACAACAGGGACCTTCAGCGGGTGCTGTGTGTCCTCCAGACCGGGTGTGGAGGCGGGGGCTCGGAGCACAGCACGCAGGGATCTGCTGCTCTGTTCCCAGAGAACTGCGGGAGTCCCACGGGGCATTCGGGCATTAGGAACACTTGTTCTGGGCTGTACAGAGACCAGGCACGGGAAATGAGTTCTTTCCTTCCTGCTGAAACTACCTGGAGCTGTGGAGGAGGATTGGGCGAAGTGTTCGGCGAGAGGAACGCGGGTGAACTGAGCCCTGTGACCGAGCTGCTCCTTGCACAGGATGAACCACACTACACTGCTGGTCCAGCCCCTCCACGGGGGAATCTGACTTGACTTCCAGCATCCTGGAGCGGCCTGTGGTAGTTTCGTGGTGTATCACAGCTCTGGGGAGACAGGCAGCTTCTCCTTAGCTCTTATTTTTAATTTCTCTTTTAGTCTTGGTCATCTCTTAAATGTAAGGGAAGGTGAAGTGAGAAAGGTCAACCTGCCTTCGCTCTGCGGAGTAAAATGTGTCACAAGCAGAAACTGGGAGTTGCTCCGTCAGTCTGAAGTTATTTGCCTCGTCCTCAGCTGGGTTTGTGTCCTCACCAGGACGGTCTCGCTCCTGGGCTCTGGCACGCTCACCCCTCATCACTGCCCTGTTCCTCCCGGGGTAGCTCCGGAGTGAGGAATCTCTGAGTCCAGCAGGAAAAGCTGTTCCCTGCAGTCCCACGCCCGGCCTCTGTCCCTGTGCCACCCCCCTGCCAGCAGCAGGCCCAGGCCAAGCCTGTCGTCCCTGGCACGGTGTGGCCTGGGAGGTCTGAGCATCCTGAGCCAGGCAGTGTTTGTGCTGGTGACTCAGCATCCTGGAAAAGGAATTGGAAACCTGGGCTGCTTTTTTTTTTTATCCCCCAGGTCGTTATTCCCAAAAAGTAAGAGCTCCAGTGAGCATGGATTCTGTACCCTCTGCTCTGAGCCCTCATGGCGCCGTCCCGGGCACCGGTGTCACTGCTTAAGTGCTCTGGTCCAATCAGGCTGCCAAAGGGTGCTTTTCCAGGGAAGTGTTTATCCAGAGGAAAATGGCACAAATGCCACAGTGTAATTCCAAGGGCGTAACCCCAGATTTTGGAAGTGGCAGGAGCTTGCAGGGCTGCTGCCTGGTGAACATCCACAGTTTTGATCCGGTTTGGTCTCGTATGGGAATGACAACCAACACCTGCATTTTTCCCAGCTTTGGCGTCCCAGGTACTTCCCAGCCATAAAAAGTGGTCAATGGGCAGTGTGGAATTCTTGGATCACCGGTTGGGGTGGTGGTCAGGTGACCCAGGGGGACCCGTTACTGCACACCCTTCCCACCAGAGGGCCTGCGCTGGCATCACCCGGTGAGGAATCCCGAAATATCCTGGAGCTTTTTACCTAATACAGGAAACACTGGCTCGCCTGCATCCATCTGACAGCTCCCAGGTAGTGGATCCTGCCCGTGTAATAAAGCCCTGTGTGCAGCGTGTTCCTTGGGACAGCGTGTGCCCTTGGGTCCCCTCTTGTCACCTCACACGTGGAGCTGGGGGGGCTGAGGGGGCTCCACCCCCAGCACACTGGATGGATGATGGATGCTGCGCCTCCAGGTAAGGAACATGTCCCAGTTTTCTGGGAAAAAGGTGGGCTCTGATCATGGCAAACTCAGCTGGATTTAGGAATCCCTTTGTGATCACCTCGAGGTGCTCCAAGCAGCCTCATGGGGAGAAGCCAACAGGCCTCGTGGGAATGACGTTTGGGGTGGCCTAAAATAGGACTATCCCTGTGAAGAGGGCAGAGGGGGCAGGCTCCTGCTTCCACACACAGATGTATCCAGCTCTCCTGGGTCAGGAAGCTGGAACAGGTCTGTCCCACCTGTGGTTACACCCTGACTTCGTAATGATGTTGACCAAAGGTAAGTGTTGGCTTCAAAAGGGAGGAATGTTTAATAGGTGAGTTGGTGCCTGTGTGAGGCTGGATAAATCCAGGTGCCCAGATGGGGCCTTTGGAGATTTCCAAACCTCGTCCCAACCCCGTCCTGTCCAGAACAGCTCGAGGGGTCACCTTTGCCCTGAGGCTGGAGCCCTGCAGGAGGGTGCTGGATCCTGGGCTGTGCCCTGGAGGGGACACCCTGTCCCATCATTGGGGATGCAGAGGAAGTTTGGGAACTGGGAAAGGACCACGGCCTGCTGTTTTCCAGCTACACCCAGAAGAAGGGCCAGGAAGCCCAATGGAAAGGACCCTTGGCTGCAGGATGAGGCAGCTCCCCCCAGCCAGGTGATGTTTTTGGCACAGTTGAAACTTGCTCTGTTTTTTCCCTGAAAATGAACTCCCCACCGGGAAGATTGTGGGACCTTCTCCCAGTGCTGCCCTCCCTCCGGAGCAGGGAGCTGCAGCAGGGGTCGAGCTGGCCCTGTGGCTGACTGTCGTGGGTGTTCCTGGGAGTTACAGCTCCTCTGGAATGTCACACTGCTCCTGAGACCACCTTTGCTCAGGGTGTGTGGGCTTTTCTCCCCGCAAAGTTGCAATTATTCCGTTTTCTCCAAGCAAAGCGATTCTCCTGCTGGCTGAAATGACTCCTTAATGCCCTGGAAGTCACCTGGCACTTGAGGTAAGGTGGCTGAAAACATGGGTGTGAAGGCAGGGAAAGGGAAGATCCCCTGGGATGGTGTGTAGGGGCAGTGTGACCGATGGTCACGGTGTCACAGGTGTGGTGGGCACAGAGCCTTTGGTCTCCAAACTGCCCAAGGGGCTTTTTGGGCCAAATCCCAAAAGGTTCCACCTTTTGCTGCAGAGGGAGAGGATCTGACGGGTTTTTTTCTCAGGAACAGCCAGAGCCAAGACCTTGCTGGATGGCCCCAGGTGTCCCCACGGCCAGGAGGGACACCCAGCTGGAAGCTGTTTGGGACCTGAGGATTTGGCTCTGGGGTGATGATCCCACTGGCTTTGGGGGGCACTGGGAGGGGATGTGGGTCCCCATGGAGAGAAACACTCATCAGGATCCACGAGGAGGAGGAGCTGGAGATGCAGAGGTGCAGTGGGAGGGGCGAGGGGGTCCCTGGGCAGCGGGAAGTGGGATTTGGGGAAGCCCCCTGTGCCCAGAGCTGCCTGCAGGCAGCGGAGGGTCTCTGGTGTGGGATGAGGGAGCTGGCATTGTCCCTCCACGCTCCTGGCTGGGGTTTGGGGTGGGTTTGCAGGGTTTGGGGTGATTTCTGTGGGGTTTTGGGGGTTTTTATGGCAACTTCCTAAGGAAAGCTGCCAGCCTGGGAGGCAAATCGAGAGTGAGAGACCCCTGCATCCCCTCCCTGCGGTGCCCAGACCCGTCCCCCCCGGGCAGGGCAGAGCATCTCCCGCAGCCCTGGGAAGTCGCTTCTCCCCCGCTCCGCTCTGCCCGGGGGGGGGGTTTGGGCCGGGTTAAGCCAAACCCCGGGGAGGGTCTGGCGAGCGCAGAGACCGCCCAGCTCATCGCACGGATGAGCGGGCAGTGGCGCCCGGCTCCGCCCCGGGCTGGGCTGGGCGAGGGAGCGGAGCCGCTCCCGGTCTGGCACGGCCGGGAAGCATCCCGGATTGGGGGGCGAGGGGGGCGGAGATCCCGGGGCTGAGCCCCCAACCCGCAGGGACTCCCGGGCAGCGGAGAGGGGGGCTCTGCCCGGTACCCACCGGCGGGAAGCATCCCGGGAGGGAGGAGCTCCTTGGATCCCGGGGCTGAGCTCAGGGACCCCCGGGCAGCGGAGGGGGCTCTGCCCGGTCCCCACCGCCGGCCGGGCGGACCCCGGCGGTCGCCGCGTTCCCCCCGCCGTGGGAGCGGACACCCCGAGGGTTCCCGCAGATCCCCGAGGATTCGTACCTGTCCAGGTAAAGCGCGGCGGGAGGAACCGGGGGGTGCGGGGGGGTGCAGCGATGGGGGCCGCCGGTTTGGGTGCCCGTGGGGGTGGGGTGGGTCCCCTGCGAGGGGCCGGGGAGGGCGGTGGGTGAGCGCGGAGCCCAAATCCTTGTGTTTTGGCAAGTTTGGGATGCGTCTTTTTATCTGTGCCAGGAGCGAACTCCATCCCACTTCTGTGCCCTGCGGATGGAGGCCAGGCAGGGCAGGAGGGGGATGGAAGGGGCTGGCAGAGCCCCGCCCGGGTGGGCACAGCCGCAGGACCAGTGGCACCAGCGAGCCGAGTTTAGCCCGGGCTCAGCACACCCGGCACGGCAGGGAGGGATGGATGAGCAGGGAGATGGCTGGAACCTGGACTGGGACATTTGGGGACTGCAGCGTGCTCGGGGAGGGGTCGTACCCAGGTTGGTCCCGGTGCTCTGGGACCAGCAATTTGGTTTCTGTGCCTGCAGCCTCAGCTGGTGGTGGTGCCAAAACAGCAGCCGGGTGACAAGTCCCGAAGGTTGGGGGGGACCCCCTTTTCCATGGGGGACACACGGCTTTGATGCTGTTTCTCTCTCCTCATCGAGCTGTTTTATTGCCCCTCCAAGCAGGAAAAGGAACCCAAGGTCTGCAGCAGCTCCCAAGGAAAACAAAGGTGCCCTGGCCCTGAGTATTAGGACATTAGGATGGATGGAGGGGGCTCTGCACCCCAAACCAGGGTTCTGCACCCTGTTCTGGGACTCTGCACCCTGTTCTGGGGCTCTCTACCTCAAACCAGGGCTCTGCACCCTGGTCTTGAGGTCTGTGGGTAAGAAATCCACCTACCCCTGAGCTGCCGGCAGCGGGAGAATGGTGCCAGTTCCTTCCAAATCCCTCAGGTTTGATTTCCCAGGATTTTGAGCAGCAGGTCAGGGGGATGTCAGAGCAGCTCAGTGAAACGCTCCAGGGAAGAGCTTAGTTTACAAAAAAAGCCATGAATCCTTCCCCGAGCACCTCCACCTCCGTTTCCTCACTCGGGAGAGGTTGATGCTGTTTTCCTAACAGGAAAATACCTCTGGATTTTGTCCTAGAGCTGAGCACCGCAGTCTCTTTCCGGGTGATGCCTCGGAAATCTGTTTAACTTGCTGCTTAGAGAAGGAGGGTTTGAGGGGAGAAGCTCTGAAAGACAAGGAAAATCAGGAATTCTTTTTAATTTCCAAGAGAAATTGGGAAGAGATGGAGGAGGTTTGTCCTCTTGCAGGAAGAGTCGGTCGTGAAAACTTTGCTATTTTTGTATTAAAAAAAACCCAAACACTGGGAAACGTGGAAAGGAGCGAAGCCCCTTGCTTGGGCATGGGAGCTTTTCAGGGCACAAAAAGAGGTGGCAAATCTCCATCGTGTTGCTCTGTTTGGATGCCAGTTTTCAGCACCGAACAGCAGAGCATCCCTTGAGCTGAGCTCAGCCCGTGTGTGACACGAGTTCAGCACGTTCTCAGCCGGGTTATTCCTGTTTTATCGATTGCCTGGGGAGGTTTGTGCCGGTGGGAGGAGGCTGGGGAGGAGCTGGGCATCTCCCAGCCCCACCTCAGCCTCGCTGTCCCTTTGGGTTGCATTTGGGACCCCCCCTCCTCCTGTTAGCCCAAAAATGGGCCACGTGTCCCTGCAGAGGGTCCCCAGCCAGGCCAGGCCAGCACAGCTCATATTTTCCTCTATAATACACTGACAGTCCCACCTTTGCCTGTTAAAATCCAAGCCTGGATGGTTTTGGGGAGGGTTGATCACCCCACAGTGCTTGAAGCTGTGAGCACCTGGAAAGTGAGACCCAAATATTGCGGGATCATCCGTCTGAGGCCAACCCAGCTCCTTCTCCCGTGCCATGAGTAGGCTTTGGGGCTGTGGAAATTCTGGAGAGGGGCTGGGGGGCTCTGAGGGGGGTGGGGAGAGGGTTTAGGTGCAGTGCTGAGGTTGGGGGTCTGTGGGATCATGTCAGCATCCCATGGGCTGTGATCTCCTGGCTCAGATGCCAGGGAGCATTCTGGCTCGGTTCCTGCTAGATTTGATTTGCTTGCTGGGTGTTTTGGGGGATCTCAAACCCCCTTTGTACAGCAGGAAATAGTTGTCCTGGATAAATCCCCTTTGGCATCCGTGGTACCTTCACTGGGATCTGCCTGGAGGAGCAGCTTCCCTCCATTAGGATGGATCTCTCTCGTATGACTCGACTGGGAAAACCCCTTCATGGGGGGAAGGTGGCGGAGCTTTCCCACCGCGGGAGCTGATTCCTGGGGAATGGCATCACCTGCGGCAACCCCAAAACTGGGGAGTGGGACTGCCCCCCTCACCTGGGGCCAGGGCAGAGCCTCGGGAGAGTCTGGCAAACTGCAGGAGGAGAAGGAAGATTTAAGCTGGAAAAGCAGCAAAGGGCTTTAAGGGCTGCGGGAGGGAGGACATTCCGGTTGGGAATGTCACCCACTAAACACTCCTGAGGTAAATCGAGCGGCTCTGCCTCTTCCCAAGTGGTTTCCATCCCTCCTCCAGCTCCTGCCGCCGGCTGAGAGGCTTCAGCGCCTTTGCTCAGCGCCTGGAAGAGGAGCCAAGGCCGGGAGCAGCGGAGGGGGAGCAGTGATGGAACGCTCACTGCAGGAAAATCACAAGGCGTTCGATTTTTGAACGATTTTGCCTTCGCCCTGACGCCGTGTCTCGCGCATTCCAGGCTGTCCCGCTGGCAGGGAGCGTTTGCCATGGACACCGGGCACGTCAGCAGGTCCCGCTTCAGCGGTGAGTCCTCCCCAGAGAGCCCGGGGAGGGTTTGGGGCAGAGCTGGCCGGGCTCACACCGAGGTCTTTTTGGGGGGGGTTGGCTGGTCCTCGCTGCTTCCCACCGGGAGAACCCTCTGCTCCACACGCCTGTGGGATTTTGTTTCCTAAAACGTGGGTAAAACCCTTAAAAGCCTCCAAGATATGGGGTTTAGTTTCCTAAAACGTGGGTAAAACCCTTAAAGCCCCCAAGTTTTAGTGCTCAGCCCTCAGAAAGGGGCAGGAGTGAGGAGGAAGCAGGTTGCAGTTCAACTGGGATTTTTGTACCTGGAGTTATTCAGAAGCAGGCGCCAGTAAAGGATTATTCTTCCAATTTTGTTTTTATTCTCGAGTTTTGCCCCTCTGTCATAGCAGGAGCCTGGGAACTCTGGCAAAGGAAACCTGTGACTTCTTCCCCCAGCATCCTTAGCCGGGATGCAGGGATAAATCAGAGTCCTTATGGGGTTTGGGAGAGGTGGAGGAAGCAGGGCCTGGCTCCTACCCCGAGGTTTAACCCCCGAGATCCCTCTGGGCTGCTCCCGGGATCCGGATTAGGTGCTTTGGATGCAGATAGTCAGTTCCTTCTGCTCATCCTTCCTCCGTTCCTGCCGGAGGAGGGCTGGGGGGAGCAGCAGGTTGTGCCTGTGCTCGGATGCGATGTGGGAGTTCAGCCTGGCTTTGGGCTTTTTCTGGCTCCGAAGGAGGGAGCGCCGCGCCGCGATGCCGGAGGGCTCCCCGGCAGCGCTCTGGGATGAGAAATCCTTTCTTTTCCCGCTGTTTTTGTGCTCCCCGGAGCGGTCGGTGTCGGTTCCGCGCGGGAGTGATGGAGGCTGGTGCAATGCAGCAGGAACCGCTCGCCGGAGCATCGCTGCCGAGCCCGGCGCTCCCTCCCCGCTCGCTCCAGCAGCACCCGGGGGGCTCTGCCCCCGTTTCCAGCAGCTTTTGGGTTTGGTTTTTCCCCTATATCTGGATTTTCCTGGCATCCCCAGCCCGTGGGGACCCAGGCGGCAGCGAGGGGGATGCAGATGCGCACGGGGCACATCTGTCGGTGGGACGGAGCCGCAGCTGGCGAAGGGACCCCCGGCACCCTGGAGTGATGAAGCCACTCGCTGGGAAGCGGGGCTGGGAAGCAGGAGCACGTCACCTCCCGAGAAAGCCAAGCCAGGACTGTCATTTTTTTTTGACTGGCAAAGCCGCTGCCTGACCCGGGTGGGAGCTGTGGTTTATCCCCCCTTGGCCCATCCCGTCCTCGGAGCTTAGAGCCGAGTTCCTGGCGTGGAAGCGGCTGGGGCTGAAGGCTCAGCCCGGGGGTCGTGACGAGCTCACGGAGCCCCTTGTCCCCTCCAGTGGCCTCCAGCCCGCCGCGGTGGGAGATCGGGCTCTACGCCGCCGGCGCCTTGGCGCTGCTGGGAATCGCAGCCATCAACCTCTGGAAGCTCTGGCGCTCCGGCAGCTACCCGGCCCCTTCCCCCTTCCCCAACTATGACTACCGGTACCTGGAGCAGAAGTACGGAGCCGCGTATCCGGACGTCAGGCACAAGGTAAAAGGGGGGGAAAGTCGGGTTGGTCTCCTTCCCTTTGCAACGTGTGGGATGCCGCAAGGGTGAAAATATCTCCTGGCTCCCAGCGGGAGCGGTCACGGGCGGCGACCCGGTGCTGGTGGAGCGTTTGGGGGGATCGGCGGAGCTGGGAGCTGCGGGAGGCACCGGGCTCGCTGCCGCAGCAGCTTGGGGCCAGGCAGGGGCCGGGAGGCATCCAAAGAGGCGCCGGAGAAGCCCAGCTGGAGGGACGGGATGGCATCGCCTGGTTTCCTTTCCCTGGCAGCGAGGGCTGGCCCCGGGCTCGCAGCGGACGCCGGGTCAGAGCGCTGCCAGCCGCAGGAGCAGCCTGAGGGCAGAGGACACCTTGGAGAGCATCCAGGAGCTGGGCAGCCTGGAGCTGATGGGCAGAGACCTGGGCCTGGCCCACTACGGCCCCCTGAAGAAATCCATCTCGGCCGACTCCCTCAACTCCATCTCGTCCATCGGGAACAACTTCGGGCAGGATTTCACGGTGGGGCAGGTGGAGGTGTCCATGGAGTACGACGGGAAGGCGGCCGCCCTGCACGTGACGCTGCTGCAGGGCAAGGACCTGCTGGAGAAGGAGGACGCGCGGTTCGAGTCCTGCTTCATGCGGATCAGCCTCCTCCCGGCCGAGCAGATCGTCGGCATCTCCCGGGTGAGTCCCCCAGGCCCCCCGCGGAACCCCGGCGTGGGATTTTGGGTGGCAGCATCCCTTGGGCACGCTCCCCAGGGCAGCGGTGGGGGTTTGTTTGGGAGCAGGGAGCTCCAGACACATCAGGACCGGGTGCGGTTGGCACGGGATTTTGGGGGTTTCAGCTTCCTGGGGCAGTGGGAAGTTTGGGGTTTGGGATTAGGAGACTTCAGGCATGCCAGGGCTGGATATGGTTGGCATGGGATTTTGGGGATGTCAGCTTCCCAGGGCAGTGACGGGGGTTTGGGAGCAGGAAGCTCCCGGTGCGTCGGGACTGGATGCAGTTGGCACAGGATTTTGGGGGGTGTCCCAGGTGGGTTTGCACATCAGAGGCTTGGCAGAGGCAGAGGTGTCTCCCCTTTGACTGGGATTTGGGCTGACTTTGTCATCTCCGAGCGTGGCTGGTGGCAGGTTTTCCTGCTCGAATTGCCCTGCTCCAAGTGCCGAGGATGCTGTGGGAGGTGGAAGAAGTGGCCTGGGGTGAAACTTGGGGGGCAGTGGCAGTTTGGGCAGGTGCTCTTGGTGTCTTGCCATGGTCCCACAGCCCCCTGAGTCCCCAGAGGCCCTGCAATCCCTCTCCTTGCCACAGCTTTTCCCTCTCCATGCAGAAAGATCCATGTGGCTGCAATGTCAGGTCCACCACTGGGGGTGGATTTGGGGCAAAACTTCTCTTTTTAAGCGCCCCAAAAGCTGGTCTCAGAAAGCAGGAGCCTCAGTTTTCCTTCAGCAGCTGCTTTTTGGAGAGCTCAGGGTCAGCCAGTTTGATTTAATCGGGATATTTATTTGGAATCTTCATCCCACCAAAGAAACCCCTCTGTGGGGGATGCGGTGCCGCTCCACCCACACACACCCTCTGCTGCCTCCAAAATATTTCCACAGTGCCCTTTTAGACCGTTTTTCCATCCAGATCTCAGGCTCTTCGTTTTTGCTCTGGAGGTATTTATTATTTAGCATCATTATTTATAATTCACCAGCACTCTGTCCTTGGCTGCCCCCAGGCCACAGATGAAGGCCCAGTCGGAGCTTTTGGTGGTGCTTATGGAGGGGTTTGAAAAAACAGCTTTGGGATCAACACCTTCAGGATGGGCCCTGGGAGCTGCTGCTGCCTCTGCTCCCAGGGAATGATGTGGCACGGGGACAGTGTCAGCCAAAAGGCACCATTCCCGTTGGGCACATCCAGGGATTGGTTCAGCTCCGTCTCAGAGTGGGGTTGGGGATTACACCCCCTCAGCAAAATCCTGGAGCCCGATGTGGCCAAGCCAGATGCACATCCAAGCTCTCAGGGTACCTGGATGGATCTGAGAGCACCAGACCAACCTTGATTTTTTTTAATTAGAAAAATTAACAGGCGCTGGGGGCAGGTCACAGCCCTCATTTTTGCCCCAGTCGCTGAGTGGCTGCTGGGGTGGAGTGGGAAATGACTCATCCCCGTGGAGGCTGGGACCCCCCAGCTCCATCAGGCCGGGGATGCCCTCCCTGACTTTGTTGTTCTCGGGGATGCCCTCGCTCCCCGAGGCCACGCGCTCCTCGCAGCTCCCGTGAGGAGAGACAAGGTGGGTCTTGGACGTGGCCCCTAAACCCGAGGGGTGCCAGGGCAATCCCTCCTTCCCGTGGCAGATCCAGAGGAGCGCCTACGCCGTGGCCTTCGACGAGCGCTTCTCCATCCCGCTGGATCCGGCGGCGCTGGAGGAGAACAGCCTGCGCTTCTCCGTCTTCGGCATCGACGAGGACGAGAGGAGCGTCAGCACCGGCGTGGCCGAGCTCAAGCTCTCCGACCTGGACCTGGCCACGCGCCCCTTCAATGCCTGGCTCTACCTGCAGGACATGAGCAAGGTGAGCGGGGCCGGGGGGGTGCCCCGTCTCCCACCTCGGGTCTCGGGGGGGGGCTCCCAGGGGTCGGTGGGTGACGGGGCGTTGTGTCCCGCAGCCCGTGGACACGGTGGGGGAGATCCTGCTCTCCCTGAGCTACCTGCCCACGGCCGAGCGGCTCACGGTGGTGGTGGTCAAGGCCAAGAACCTCGTGTGGACCAACGGCAAGGTGACCGCAGGTGAGAGGGCTGGGGGGGGCCGGGCGGGCACGGGGGGCTTGTGTTGGGCTGAGGTTTGCCCTGGTTTGTGCCACTGACCACACAGATCTTTACTGGAGCGGCTCCCGCTGAGGAAGGGCCACTAGAGAGGGTCCCCCCTCTTTCTCCACGTCCCTGGGGACATGTGTGACTGACCCTGGGGTCTCTCCCCCACCTCTCGAGCAGATCCCTTCGTCAAGGTGTACCTGCTGCAGGACGGGAGGAAGATCAGCAAGAAGAAGACGGCGGTGAAGAGGGGGGACACCAACCCCGTGTTCAACGAGGCCATGATCTTCTCCGTGCCGGCCATCGTGCTCCAGGTCTGGCCCAGCTTGGGGCACATCCCACCGCTCCTCGAGCTCCCCAGATCCTCCAGTGGGGAGTTCCAGGAGGATGAGGGGTTCTGGGGGGATCCTGGGAGCTGTGGGGGCCAGGGGTGTGTAGGGATGGTTTGGGGGTGTATGAGTGGGGCAGGGCATGAAGCAGACATGGGGAGGGGCTTTTAGGGGGATGTGGGTGACTTTTGGGGGATTGGTGGGAGGGCTGTTTGGAGGGGATGTGGATGTGTGGGGGCTGTCGGAGGGGATGTGAATGTGTGGAAGTGTCTGGTGGGGGGGATGCGCGTGGGGGACTCTTGTGGGGGGATGTAGATGTGTGGGCTGGGATATAAGGTGTGCATATGTATGGGGGGGTGGTTGTGTATGTGGACAGGGGCATATCTGGATTTAGGGGATGTGGGGAAAAACAGGAGGATGTGTAAGTATGGGGGTATAAGAGGGTGTGTATATATAGTGGCATGGGGGGATTTAGGGGAGGTTTCAAGTGCAGGGAGTGGGTTTGAAGAGGGTGGGGGCACAGAGGGCTGTATGTGGGGTGCAGCTGTTTTGGGGGTGAATTTACGGGGTGGAGGGAGTATGGACGGTCTGGCACTATGTGTGTGTGCGTGTGTGTGCACTTGGGAAGAGCACAGGGACACGTGTCCGGGCTGGGGGCTGGCGTGTGGTGACACCCCTGTCGTGCCCCCCAGGAGCTGTCCCTGCGCGTGACGGTGGCCGAGAGCGGCGAGGACGGGCGCGGTGACAACACGGGCCACGTGCTCATCGGCCCCACCGCCAGCGGGATGGGCACCACGCACTGGAACCAGATGCTGGCCACGCTGAGGAAGCCCGTGTCCATGTGGCACCCACTCCGCAGGAATTAGGGGGGCTCCTGGGGGGGCTGCACCCCGACGCCGGCTCTGCCGGGCACCGCGGGGCCAGGAGCCACCGAGCAGGGGCTGAGCAGGACTCTGTGGCACCTCAGAGGGTCAGCTCCTGCCTAAAACACCCCGAGGATGGATGGAGTGACTCTGCGGCTTCATCTCCGCCCTCCTGGGTCCCCCACACGTGGGGACTGACGGACAGACCCACTGGCAAGGAGCCCAGACGGACCAAAACCAGCCAGAACCTCCCCAGACGGCTGGGCTGAGCATCCCAGCGGCCTCAAAATCGGTGGAATCCTCAAACACGGACCCCAAGGCTGCACGGGAGAGGGGGGATTCCTTTGGAATGTGGGTTTTTCTGAGGGGGGTGATAAATGCCAGCATGGCGTGGCTCCTCTCGGCGAGAGTGGCGATCCTGGGGGGATTTTTAAGAGGGATTTCGGTGTGTCGTGCTGGGGACAGGATGTTTCCAGTGGGAACGGAGAAAGGGAGCAATAAGAGCAGAAAAAGCAATTGTTATTATATATGGCTTCTCCTTCCGTCTGTTTTCCCACGCAGTAAATCCCTGCTCCGTCTCCGCTGGCCGCAAGGAGGGGGCTGGACTTGGTTTCCAAGGTTTCGAGGGTGACAGGCAGAGGGCTCCGCTGGAGCCCCTCGTGGCAGGGGATGCCCTGGGGCCGCATCCCCCCTTGCCTGGAGCCTCGGCTTTTCCCTGCCTGCAGGATGCTGGTGGGGAGCCAGGCTGGGAAATCTGGGGGCTGTGTGCCAGGAAAGCAGCGCCGCGGGGCGAGCACACACTGGGATGTGGCTGCCTGGGGGAAAAAGTGGGAATGAGCCATTTAGCCGTTTTCCCCTGATTAAAGGTGACTCCGAGGTGACTTATCCCGTGAGCTGGTGACACTTTTCCCTTCTCATCTGTCCTGCCTGACCTTGGCTTTGGGACAGGGCTGTGATGTCCCTGTTCCATCACGCCCCTCTGCTCCGCCTCCTTTCCCGTACGTGCCCGTCTCCGCTCACTGATGCCCAGATTTCCCTCTCCCATGCTCCATCTCCTCCTCCTCCCCACCTTCCCCTCCAGGAGCCCCCCTGTCCCATCTGCTGCCAGGTGAGTTGGTGCCATCGCTCCGTGGCTGACGCACGGCCGGCCCCAGGCACCGAGGCACGAGCCAAGGATGGAGGGGCTGGAAGGATGAGCTTTTCTGAAGGACTGAGGAAGGTTTTTTTTGGGAAGTTGTTCACAGCCAGTACTCACAGGCCCCGAGGTTTGGGGGCAAAAATTTTCTTATTAGCTACCGCAGCCAGCTTTTGGGAAGAGACAGACACAGAGATCCTTGGCTGTCCTGCAGCTCCTGCCAAGTGCTGAGCCTTGCTCGGGATGAGGTGAGTGACTTCCACAGGTTCTGGAATCACCCTGGGCAACATCAGTGATGTTCAGCCCCAAAATGATGGGGAACATGTGGTTTGGGGCTGTTTATTGTGCCCCTCTCTGGACATTCCTCTTTCAAGGCACCTCAGCACCTTTTCCTTCATCCTGAGGGCAAAAGAACGCTGCTGGAGCTATTTTTGGGGGGGACGGGTGGACCCTGTGAGTGGGACTGGAGCCAGCAAGGAGAGGGGATAGGGCAGGGGCCGTGTGGGGATGGAGAGAGGCTTTGGAAACGGGGATCAACTGGCAGGAAGCAACGTGAGAGATGGATTAGTTTGGGGGTACAGGACTGGGAGAAGGCCTGGGAGGGACACGAGGCTCCCTCCTGCCTGGGAGGGCTGCACTGCCTTTGTTGCTGTGGGGTTCCCAGTGCACCTTGGTGTCCCAGGAGCTCCCCATGCCCATCCCAATGCAAGCCCGGAGCGGGGCTGAGCCCCCTGCCAAGCCCCTCTCCTGGGTGTGAGGGGATGGGACAGCCCCGAGGGGTTTGGGCTGTGCTGGCTGTGGTGTGGACACGCCGGGTCACTCCGAGCAGTGCCAGAGGATTGCTGGGCTGGCATCCATTTCCTTAGTCACCCTCCCTGGAGCAGAGGGTCACCCGGGGTTTCTGGTGCCTCCCACGTTCCTGCTCCCAGACATCCATCTTTGGCTGCCTCAGGGATTGACGTGACAGTGGCAGCTCATTGCTTTGGGTGTTTAATGCCTGTTGTAACCGTGAGCTCCAGCCTCTGTGAACATCCATCACCGTGTCCATACGGATAACCAGGACAATACAGCACCTCTCCCTCCCCAGCCCCTGGCTCCAGGCTGTGTCCCCCCCAAAATCGAGCCCCCCCACTCCCCCCAGAGCTCAGCAGCTCCGACCTGGGAGGGCTGAGCGGCGGCTCTGAGGTTAAAAAAGCGGGATTCAGGTCCCTCATTTCTCCTTGTCTTTCTTTCTGCCCTTCCTCTGGCTCGTCAGCTCGCTGAGCTTCTTGTCCAGGCGCCGCTGGAGGTGGGCTCGCTTGGCTGGGTCCAGGGATTTGTCCTTGGAGCCACTCCCGGGATACAGGACCCCTTCCCTGCTGATCCGCTGCCGCGCCTGGGCCTTGGCCTTGTCCCCACAGCCGTGGACCTGCAGGGGGAGAACGGACACCAGCTGGGAAGCAGGGCAGGGATCACCCACCTGGGAACCAGGGGGTTTCATTCCCGGAGCGTGGAATTCCTCTTCCACCTTCGCATCCTCCTAAAACCATCTCCTATCATTAGTAACCACAATTTACATTCTTATTTATTTTTAATTATTGCTTATTATCTATATTTATTGTTATCTATTATTATTACATTATATATAATTATATATTATATATAATACTATATATTATATATAATACTATATATTATATATAATACTATATATACACATAGATTTGTTTTATTTTAGTTTTTAATTTAATTTTCATTTTATTAATATTTATATTTTATTGTTATTTTTAAATTATATAAATTTACAGATTTATCAGGTATTATAATCATTATTTATTGTTAATTATAATCCACCTTTTATTATTATTAATAAATGATTTCTTATTATTATGTATTTTATTAAACCCTCATTTATGCTTCAGAACAAAATATAAAGGGGATTCTTCTCCTCCTGGACTGCACAGCTGGCAAATCATCCTTTGGGATGATTCAAGTGGCTCCTTCTGCTTATACTATTATATATTAATTTTTATTTTTGTTTACTATTCATTATCATTATTTATTCTTAATAATAAATTGAAGCTTAATATTATTACTTATTCTTATGTATTATTATATATTTTGTTAAACCATCATTTATAGCTCCTCTCACGAAATATAAAGGTGATTTTTCTGCTACTGGACTCTGCCCAGGCAAGTAAATCATCCTTTGGGATGTTTCAAGTGGCTCCTTCCACTTCCTTTCCAGTGAACTGGGAAAAGTAATTTGGGGAATAAGAGACCTTTTCAGCCACGGATCTGCTCCTCTCATGAAATTTGATCTGTCTCCTGCAGTGGAATTAAAAAACCCTCATAAAGCTCGTTCTGTGCAGGCAAAGCTCTCCCAGCCCAGCCTGTGCTCCAGCCCTGGCCGTGTCCGAGGGGTGTGGAGCCAAATCCAACACGAGAATCATCTCCCACAGGTGAGATCCTAAAATCTGACCCCTTCTCCTGGTCCATCCCGAAGTCATTTATGTTTCCACGACCTGGGGTCCCAGAGAGCCACTGGGGCTATTCCACATGGAAGCCTGATAACATCTGGGAAGAGGGATGGGCTTTAAAAAGCAAGGAAAACTGTCCAACAGGGATTTGAATCCCTACAACTGTTCCTCGTTGGAGGCTCGTTACAATTCGGCAGGGAGAGGCGATTCTGCAGGATATAAATTCACATCCCCCCGGATGGTGAGTGACCATAAATACAGCTATTCTTTGCCATGGAAACAGATAGCTCCTGACAGGGGGAAAAGCTGTGCCAAGGATTTATAGGGCTGCTGAGCTCCGGGAGGCTCCACAGGGCACGGAACTGCGCCTGGGAGCTGTGGGAGGAGGGTCAGGGGCACAGGGAATTCTGAATTGCTGACCAGACAGCACTTCTCCGTGCTGGGGACCCGTCCCCAGGATGCAGAGGGAATCTGGAAAGGGCTGGGAATCGAGTCTAAGCTCCCTTGAGTCACTGCCTTAAGCTTGTGCCTCTCCATTTCTCCTCCCTGCCTCGATGGCCTGAGGGTATAAATGCCAGAAAATGCCAAAGAAGGGCAAAGTGAGAGGAAAAGAAGGCGGGCAGAGCCCAGGTGTGGCACTTGGCAGCCCTGTGTACCTGCAGCTCAGCACAGACTGTGACAGGGAGGGCCCTGCTGAAACCCCCTGCAAGGAAACCCTGCCCAGGGAGCTCCACAGGGAACATTCCCAGGTTAAGCCCGCCCTGCTGTACCTCAGGGATGTGGTGGCTGAGGCAGTAGCACCGGCGGCAGTGGTGGCAGAGCTGGCCCAGGGTTGTGACAGAGGCTTTGCAGCGGGGGAAGGCACAGGTCCTGTCAGCCTCCATGGCCGCAGAGATCAGAGCGTCGAAATCTTCTCCTGCTCCGCTCCCGACCGCCGGCTTTCCTGGGAAAGGTGAGCAGACACCTGGAATGGGGACTGGCAACAAACCCACCCACCTACAGCCACAGCCTGGGCTGCCTCTGCTTCCTTCAGTGTGGGCCCTCTTAGCTCTTCCCTCTGCATTTGGGAGTCTCCCATGGAACCCCTGAGCCTCTTTCCTGGGAAAGGGTCCCCAATGTTTTTCTTCTGACTTAAGGAATGTGCCTCCAGGTACACAAAGCCCTCTCCCCAGCTGCTGTAGCCAACTGATGCACATTCCTGCCAGTTCCCACCCCTCTGACAAGGACCAGGGAGCTTTCCAAGAGCCACATGCTTCATGCACACAGGCAAATCCCAAGGTCTGGAGCAAACTCACAGGGATTAAGATTCGCTCAAGGAAGACCATTAACTTTTCTGGTTATGAAAAGCCTGACCTACCTTTGGCTTCGCTTTTGTCCTTTTTCCTGCTGCTGGTGCCGGGCTCCCGCACCTTCCTGGCCGCCTCCTCCCGTCTGGCTTTCTCCCTCTGGACTCTCTCCAGGTGCAGGGATTTCAGGTCCACTTTCCCCGAGCCCTCGCTGCTCCCCCCCGGCTCCGCAGGGACAGGGGTGCTCCCGCTGGGATGCTCAGGCTCTGGAAGGGGCTGCGGGGGCTCGGGGGGCAGCTCGGGGGGCTCCACGGGGTCTCCCTTACGGACACTGATGTACCTGTCCCGGCCCTCCCCGGAGCTCAGGTGCTGCAGCCCGTATTCCTCTGCCAGCAGGTGAACCAGCATCCGGTCGTGGGAATTCAGGGACGGCGGGAAATCCAGCTGCACCTCGCCGCTCGCCAGGAACGCCACCAGCGCGGCCCTGAACCTGTCCCCGGCATCCTTTGTCCCCGAGTCCTCTCTCCCAGCTCCGGCGGTGTTCCGGGAGGAACGTGCTCCCTGTTTCTGGCTCCCAGCTCCGGCTGCTGCTCCCGCCTTTTGCTTCCCGCCCGGAGCGGGCTGCGGTTTGGGGCCGGGCTGCGGTTTGGGGCCGGACGCCGCGGGCGGTTTCGGGCCCTGCTGCCGCTCGCCCCGGCCCTTCCCGGAGTAGTTTTGGGGCACGAGGTCATCCAGGTACTCGAAGGCGGAGCGGACGTGGCCGTGCCGGGAGAAGTGGTCCAGGAGGCGGCGCAGGAAGGGCTGGCTGCCCACGGTGTGGCTGTCACACACCACGGCCACGTGGCGCCGCGCCCGCGTCACCGCCACGTTGATCCGCCGCTCCTCCGCCAGGAAACCCACCTCACCTGGGAGAGGGACAGGGAGGGCCGTGGGAGGGAGGGATCCAGGCGAGGGGCCGGTCCCAGTGACCCAAGGGTTGCTTGGCGGAAGGGTGGGAGTCGGCGTTTACGGGGTCCCCGCTCACACCATCCCATTCCTCTTTCTACCTGTGTTTCGCCACCCGCAGCCAGAGCCAGGGCTCCACACTGAGCTCCTGGGATAGGGAAGAGGATGGAAGGCACGTGGAGAGGAGAAATGTTTCCCTGGCTGGCCCACAACACGAGACCAGGTTGGATCTGGGAGCGAAGGCAATGCTGGAGCAGCGTGGAAAAGGCTCACCTTGCGACAGAGGAGGAACTGCAGGTAAAGGACCTCCCCCTGTCCTACAGAGCTCCCTCGTCCTTGGAGGGTCTAGAGGAACAGCCATTTAGGAGCTGGGGAGGTTCTCCTCTGCTCACAGAGCAGCAGTGCTGGGATGACTCAGGGAGGATCAGCCAGCGAGAAGGGGAGCGTGGGCAGCTGCCGAGCTTCCAGCTCCAGGGAATAGAGAGGAGGCCAGTCGGGAAGAGATTAATGCCTCCACCGGAGCTGTGCCCAGCCTGGCTCTGCTCCTGCCGTGCCTGAGCAGCCTAATTTGTGCTGCCTTTGAGGGATGGGGTGAGGGTGAGCCCCTCTCCGGGCTCTGCAGCTCGGAGAACCATTCCCAGCTCCTCTGATGTGGTTTAGCCTGGCTAGAGGGGCAAGTCCAACTCCTTTGATCTGGGAATTAGAGAATCCTGGAATAGTTTGGGTTGGGATGGACATTAAACACCATCCAGTCCCACCCCCTGACATGGGCAGGGACACCTTCCACTGGCCCAAGTTGCTCCAAGCCCTGTCTAACCTGGCCTTGGACATTCCAGGGATGGGGCAGCCACAGCTTCTCTGGGCAACCTGTGCCAGGGCCTCCCCACCCTCACAGGGAACAATTTCCTTTGAAAAGAAGAAAAAAGTTTCCTGCTGGATCAGGAATGGTGGCAGAGGGACAGGTCAAGGTCCCTGGCCTGCTCTGAGTGGAGAAACGCAGCTGCAAGAGGTTATGGATTTCTCCCAAGGGACTCAGAGAGCATCAATATCATCTCTTGTACCCCATGCAGGAAAAGCCTCCCTGTTCCCCCAGGAAGGCAATTCCTGCCCCACTTCTGAGCTCTGGCTGCTCCCTGTACAGGGAAAGGGGCTGAGGACACCCACCTTCCTGGGACACCAGCTCCTACCAGCACAGGGGTGAGTCACTCCTGGATAAGGACTATTCTTAGTGCTGTCCCCACCTCCATTCTCCCCACAACGCTGCTTTTCTTCCTCTAGGCTTGGAAAAAAAGGTACCTCCTCCTTCCATGCATGCTTTCCCTCCTTTTTTTCCCCCCTTCCTGCCATCAGCACTCAGCATTTCACCTTCAGCAGCACAGGCAGGGCAGCAGGGTTGTGTCTCCTGTGGCTTTGGAAAGGGCAGTGATCCCTGCACGGGACAGAGGGGTCCTGGAGCGCTCCACAAAATCCTTCCACTCCCCCACAGGAGCCTCGTGCCCCCAGGGCAGCAGCTTTTTTCCAGCTATTAACTTTCTCTGAAGCTGCTGATAGGAAAGAACTTGATTTTCCGCTCTAGATTTTGCTCCCAAAAGCTGCATTTTCCGTGCCTGACTTGGGATGCCAGCTCCTGTTTGCTTCCTGCAGGGAACCGACCCAGAATTGGCTCCAAACCCAGTAAATTACCCCCCAACTCCAGTAAATGTGGGGCTAATGGGATGGGATGTTATTATTAGTATTATTATTATCATTATCATCATCATCATCATTCTTATTGCTTCATTCAATCATTTCTGAGGCCTCAAGAGCCAGGAAACCTCCAAACTGAGCAGTCCCGGCCCCTTTGAACCTGCTGTACCATGGGAGCCTCCTCTGCAACCCTGACAGCAAATATATTCATTAATTAAACAAAAAAGGCTGAAAAGGAAGCATTTTGCCAGTAATTCCATTCAGAGCCAAGTCCTAGAGCACTGCAATCAAACCACAGTGCTTGGCTGCACGACTTCCTTCCCATTTCCTTCCCATTCCCCACGGAATCACGCTCCAGCAGCGAGCTCTTACCTTTCCTGTTGGATCTGACAAAGGACAGGATCACTGCCTCCTTCTCTCTTCCTTGGAAACCATCAACTGATTTGATTTCCAGCTCGGGGTGGCTGTGACAAAGGTGCTCTCGTAGCATGTCCACCTGGAAAACAGGCCACAGGTAGCTTTTAAAGGAAAGACAGGGGTGAAAAGGGTTAAAATGGCACAATTTGGGGGAAATCCTTTCCTCCCAAACCTGCTTGCACCTCCTGGAGGTCAGGTGATGATTCCTGAGGGTGGGAATGGTGCATCTAACTAACATCTCCTCCCCCCACGGCCTCGAGCTGCTCAAATGTGGAGGAGTTGGCCCCAAATGCTGATTAAATTTGGCTCTGCCAGTCTCTGGGACATTGTGGTGCTCCCTGTGCAGGGAGAGGGGGAATGCCAGGAGAGGGACAGCTCACCTGGAGGTTGTAGGGAGCCACCACAGCGATGTCCTTGGCCTTCACACCAGCGTCCACCAAGGCCTGGACGTGCAGCCCGGCCAGCTGGACCTCCCCTGGGGCAGAAACAGAGTGTGACAGGGGGACCAGAGGCCAGAGAAACGTGCCCAGCTTCCATAAAACAGCAGGAAAAACTCAGAGAGACCTCGCTCCCTCCCCTTAAACAGCTGGAAAGGCTCAGGGAGACCCTGCTCCAGCCCCTAAAACAGCAGAAGAGGCTCAGGACACCCTGGTCCAGAGCTCTGCCAAACAGCAGGAAAGGTGCCTGGTTCAGAGGGATCTAAAGGGACAAGTTAAATCAAATGTGAATTATTTCCCTGGTTCACTGGCTGGACTTCTGCTTTGCAGCAAAACACAGCAATAAACATCAAGACTGCAGTGAGCCAAGAGGCTGCCTCCCAAATCTGGGGAGCTGTGCTTTTGATCCCCTGCTCCAAATCCCTGAGTTCTCTCAGTCAAGGCTTTTGGGCTCTCTGTGAGGGGACAAGAGCCTGTCACTGTTCAGTGGGGCCCTGGGAATGGTGCATGGAAAAATGAGGCACTAAAATGCTGGTGGGGTAAAAGGTATTTAAACTGGTAAAAGCTGTCCTTGTATTTTCCAGCCTGACTTTATGCTCAAGCTCCATAATGAAACCTATTTTTTTAAGGTGAAAAGCAGCAGGAACCTGATGTCTTAGGAAAATCCCTGGAGAAGAGCCAGACAGGATTTCATGGAAGGAGCAGAGGACTCGGAAGGAATTCTGAGCCCTGCCCACAGCCTTCCCAACACAGGTTTGTGCTCTCCCTGCTGCTGTTTGCCCTTCCATGGTGTAAAGCACCCCCCACAGGGATCCTCCACCCTGTCCTAGTCCTCAGCATGGAGGAATGTCCCTGCAAGGGGACACTGGCTGGCCACCCCCACGCTGGACATTGTCACCACGGACCCGTGGCCACTCTGCTCCAGCTCAGAGTTCTTTGAGCCTGAGGATTTATGGAGGGGGATGATCCCTCAGCTGAGCAAGGCTCCCTGGATCCCCACCTTCCCCAAGGGGGACACCTCTGGGATGTGGAGGGCTGAGCACCTCAGACCATCCATTCTGGGCAATGGCATTTTCCGAGCGACGGTACCTGGATTCCCCTTGGACTGTTCATCCTCCTCTTCCAGCTCAAACAGGCCACAGCCAGCGGTGTCGATGAGCAGCAAGGCAATGGTGGTCTCTTCTGTGGAGGAGACGCCCGGCAGGTCCCTGCACAAGGGGTTTGGGAAAGGGACAGGTAACAATGCTCTGCAGTATCCAGAGGGGCCGTGGCCGCCCCATCCCTGGGAGTGTTCCAGGCTGGGTTGGACAAGGCTTGGAGCAACCCGGGCTAGTGGAAGGTGGGCCCATGGAAACTGGATGGTGTTTAAGGTCCCTTCCCACCCAAACCATTCTGGGATTCCACGCTCCCATACCAAAGGAGGACACACACAAGATAACCTTTACAGAGAGGGTGATCAGACACTGGAATGGGCTGCCCAGGGAAGTGGTGGATTCTCCATCCCTGGAGATTTTTAAAAAGAGACCGGATGTGGCATCAGTGCCATGGCCTAGTAACTGCAGTGGTAGTGGATCAAGGGTTGGACTTGATGATCTCGGAGGTCCCTTCCAACCCAACTGATTCTATGATTCTATGAACTCTGCCTGACCTCTGGTCGGGCAGCAGAAAAGGACAAACCTCCCTCAGTTACCGTTCCCTCGGCGCACCAAAGGACCAAACGCAAACGGCACCGCCAAGGGGACAGCAGGAACAGAAAACCCCCCCGGGGAAGGGGCAAACCGGGATGAGGAGGACACCTCAGCTCAGGTGCCAGCAGAGAGCAAGCGACCCACCTGAGCAGGTGCTGTGCCACGGAGGGGTGGGCGCTGAGCCGGCCGCCGTAGAGCTCCGAGGAGGCCCAGTCCATGATGAGCCGGTGCATGCGGTACTGCACCGTCAGCATCCGCACCGCCCGCTCCCCGTAGTGCCGCGCCAGCCGCTCCATCAGGCTCAGGGACAGGCCCTGGGCCGCAGCCCTGCAGGGGACAACCACCTCAGAGGGGGCCCGGGGCACGGGCGGGACCCGCGCTGGGCTGAGCTCAACCAGCACCCGGCGACAGACACGAACGGCGCCCGTCGGTGCCAGCGGGTAAGTCGGAATGCTGCCGATGGGTAAGCTGGAATGCTGTTGGAGCACCTGCAGCACCTACTCCAGACCCTGCTCAGCGACCTGACGTGGCCCTGCTGGGGTGGCACTGTCACCCCTGTTTCACCCACAGGTACCAGGAGGGTGCAGTGTTGGCTGTGGAGTCCCCATCCCTGGAGGTGCTCCAAGGAGCGACTGAACGTGGCAGGTCCAGGTGACAAGGTGGGGACCTGTCACAGATTGACTCGAAGACTTTGGAGGTCTTTTCCAGCCTAAACGGTTCTGGGATTCCATGATCCGTCAGCATAAGGCTACACTGGCATTACTACAAGCTCAGCCACGGCGTCGGCATCACCCAGTGTATCAGGATCAGAGCTCAACCCCAAATTTTGGAATGCTTGGTGTCCACACAGCCAGCCCTTGCTGATGTTTCACCCAGACACCTGCTGCTCCAGTGTTTTCATCCTTCCCTGCCGCTCGCCCCAGGCTAACACAGGGATCGTTGTTTCATCACCCACCAAACCCCATCACCTCTGGCAGAGGCCCTGGGGCACAAATTAATCCTAATGAAATTAGCCTTTTGGGAGCTTAATTGCTTTGCCTTCACTGACAGAGAGGGTTTGTTGGAAGCACCAGCCGGAGGCACCGTCTGAGGAAGAAGGATGGAAGTCGTCGTGCCTGAATTTTGTGAGCATGAAGAGATTTTTCATACTGTGCTGACAGTGAGGGGGTGCTGGCTGCTGCCAGACACAATGAACCAGCACAAAGATGATGAAATGATGATAGAGGACAGCTCAGGAGAATGATTTCCATCAAGGCTAAGGGCCACAGCACGCATCCAATCCCTGCCCTGGGAATTCCAGCCCCACAGTGAGGGATTGTTGTGGTACTGGCCAGTCCTGCCATGCTCCCAACAGGTACTTGGAAAATGCGACCAGAGAACTGCAAAGTCACTAAACCTACAGAAAGGAAAATTAAGGACAGATCTTTCCAAGAAGCTGGGTTTCATTAGCCCTCCTTCCTGCTGGATCATAGGGGAAAAAAATGGGGAATAACCTCTGAATGGACACAGCTGCAGGACCTGGGAGGCAGCAGTTTGCCAGGGGTGGGCTGGAGTGAAGGGACAGAGCAGGATGGGGGGTTGGGAAATGCGTTCCAGTTACCAGGAACGAGCTTTGCTCCTGAATGAGAAGGTGCTGTCATGTTGCCTGATCCCTCCCACAGACCCTGAATCTCCTGGGCAAGGGGGGAATTTAAGTAGGGAGAGCTGTCTGCACTCAGGTGAAACAGCCATTAAATCTCCCAGCAAGCCTCAGGAATAATGCTCTTCCATACCCTTCCAGCTCCATTCCCACCACAGGGCTCTACATGCTGAATTAATAATGAGGAATTAAACTGCTTGAGAATATTTCACCTGTTAATAATTTCTATTATTTTACCACTCAATTAATTCCTACAGCGGTTGATTTCTACGCCAACAAAATCCTAAGTGCCCTGAGCAGACATTTTTTACGTATCAACTGCTTTAGACAAAGAGAACTGGGAGAAAAGGTTGGACAGACACGATTGCACAGTGTGCCCTTTTCTTATTCACCCCTGAGACAGGAGATGCTGGTGTGACTGATCTCTGCAGCACACACTGAATTTGGATGGAAGAGCCTGGAGGAGGATGTCACTGTGTTTTCCTGCCTCAAGAACTCCACATTAACAGGGTTAATTAATGGATGTGCATCCAGGAGCACATCCATTGCTCCTGGATGGCAAAACCAGGCTGAGGCTGTTGTGGACATGGAAAGTATTTGCTCTGTGCCCTGGGTTTTTCCATCCTGGTAAAGCTTTAAGAGGTTTCACAGAAAGGTAAAGCAGTAGTGAGGCTGTGCAGAATCCCCCCTTTTCCCTGGATATTGTGGGTTTGGTTTTTTTTTAATCCTTGCAAATATAAAGGAGGAGGGGAGCATGTTCTATTCCAGCTGTGGAAGCTGGCAGAGGAACCCAAGGCCTGACACTTGCTCTTCAGTGGCAAAGTGAAAGCAGATCCATTCAGTCTCGACAGGATTTGGGATGGTGCAGACACCCAGACTGACCATTAGCAAACAAGCAGCAAAACACCCCAGTGTTTGTCTAAGAAATGAGTTGTGACAGCAAGAGGTTTGATAAATATCTGCTGATATCTGCAGGGAGTACAGTTAATAAATCAGAGCCCCGATGTGGAGATGAATTAATCGGGCTGCCAGAAAAGGAGGGAATGAAGGCTCAAATGAACACCAGCAAACAAATGCTCCTGTCAGACCACAGGAAGTGTCCTGGCATTGAGGTGCCCACTGGGACAGGGCCAAAATCCAGATGGAGGTCTGAAGCTGCTGCCAGTGAGGGGGCTGGAATTTGCCATTGCTGGGAAGAGCTCTCAGAAGAAACCATCCAGCACAGACAAGATGCAGGTGAGTGGACTGCAAGGGGTGTAGTGGGATACCCTCTGCATCCTGGGGTAGCCCCAGATGTGTCAGAAAGCAAGAGGAGCACCCTTCAGACTCTCCACCAAACATTCCCTAAGCCTCAAGGGGAAAAAACCTGACAATAATAAGTGATAAATGCTGGATCCATGGAGGAAAAAGCAGGCAACAGGAAGGCAGTTGGAGTACCCACCCCAGCATTCCTGCTGGACAGGAGCTTCCTGCCTGAGCAGGGCTGACTTCCCCTGGTGTAGTAACAGCCGAGCCTCCTGCCAGCCTGGATCCATCCCAGCTCACTTTGGACCCCAAAATAGGAGCCCACCCACTCCAGGCCCGCTGTCATCAATGGAGAAGGGGAAGGTGGGAGGAAGGGTTGGAGTCCTCCGCATGAATCATCCCTGGAAATAGCTCATCCCTTTCCCTGAACCAAAGAGGAGGTGGCAGGTGATTCGGGGCCTTCAGGAGAGCTCTGGAATTACCTGCAGGAGGAGGTGGAAGGGATCTGCCTCTGTGCTGCTTCTCCTGGTCTGCAGGGACTGTGCTGGCACACACACACCTTTGAGAATTCCCAGCAATCCCACAGCAGAGCCAAAGGCTTCCTGTGGGATTGCTCTCCCTGGCTGCTAACTCAGAGCCCTGGAAGCCCCGGGGCAGTTGCCCAGCAGACACAGGGCCTCTCCCTGTTCCCTGGCTGGGATAAACCGCAGGTAAAGGCACCACCTCCCAGGAGAAACCTGCTGGGATGGAGCCACTTCCAGCAGTGACCGTCTGTAACGCAGCTCTGATGGAATTCTAGCAGTGTGACCAGCCCCTGGGTGGGTGGGTGGGTAGGGGGAGATCCAACAAATAATCCCATTATGAAATATCTCCACAGGTGAGGATTCGGAAGCGTTCGGCTGCAAAAAACAACAGGAGGAGCCGGGACTGTACCTGTGGGAGACGATGGTGGGGGGCAGCTGCTTGTGATCCCCGGCCAGGATGCACTTGGGAGCCTTCAGCAGAGGGATCCAGCAGCTGGCTTCCAGGGCCTGAGCACACTCATCAATCACCACCAGGTCGAAGTGGTTTTCGGGCAGCAGCTTCAGCGGGCCGTCGGAGGAGGCACCTGATGGAAGCAGAAGGTACAATGATATTTCTTTGCAGGGATTTAGAAATCCAGCTCTGCAGCCCATGCCAGGCACGTATACATTGATATGTGTATGTCAGGATTGTTTTTGCCAATTCCTGTTTGTCCCCTTTTTTTTTTCCCCCCGGCATCTGGGCCCAGAAGCTTCCAAGACTCTTTGGAAAACAGCAGCCAAAGAGAACGAGATCCTGGAATGCTTCACCCAGAGCAGAGCAGTGAACACCCACCTTCCTGCTGCCCCCTCAGTGCAAACAGAACTCCTCATCACCAACACTGGAAGGGTGAGGGACTGCAGCTCCACCAGTCTGAGAAGTGGGGGACAGCCCAGGAGGGAGAGACGGGCTGAGTCCCCACTCCTCTGCCCTGCTGACCCCCTGGCTGTGCCACTCTGTCCTTCCTCATGGCACTGGGAGAAGGGAAAGCACAGGAGAAGTAACCAGGCCACCACAGCAAGGGCTAATTTTTAGTATCAGAAGCCCATTTGTAACATCAAACAAATGACCCTGGCACACAACCTGCTCTAACCCAGACCTACCTGATACCGATCCACGCATTGATCAGAAATCTGGATGTCAGGGGCATCAAAATCTCACCCAATTCACAAGGAAAAAGGATGCAAAAGGAGGAGAGCAGGGTTAAGAAGCCAGCATGCCAGGAGAGAAGATTTTTATTCACAGAGGTGTTTTTTTCCCACAGCTCCTGTGCTATTCTTCCTACTTTCCTCCTTTGAAAGCAGCTCTGAGAGGGGGGATTTGGCTTTGCCACCGTAAATCCTGCTGCCTCTGCACCTCTGTATTGCTTCAGATCTTACAGCTTGTCATCTAAGACACCCTGTTTTCCTTTAAAAGCTGTTTTCCAGCCTATATGAATCCACTCTGGTAAGAGGGGCACACTTATAACCTGACTTTTGCCTTTGGCCACGCCGAGGGTGGAAGGAGAAGAAATGAAAGTTTCTTCCTGTCTAAACCAGCCTGTACCAGCACAGCCTGGTTTTCTTCCCTCCCAGTCTTGGGTTTATTGAACTGCCATTAATTAAAGGCCACTCATGTCCCCGAGTGCTGCCATGATTAGATTTTCCTCTGGGCTGAAGCCACCGGCGGAGCACTTGGGCTGCAGAATTCCCCCCAATCCCACGGGTCCAGAGAAATCCCACCACTGCTTAACAAAATCCAACCCCTTGGTTCGCCCACCACCTCTCTCTGAAGCAGAATTCCAGACCCCCAGCTGGGAAGCCCCAGGGGAAAATCACAGCTGATCCCCCAAAATACCAGTTTTGCTGGAAAAAAAGGAAACCTCCCCGTTTTCCAGGCAAGGTTAAAAGAAGGGAGAGGCCAATTCCAAGAGAATAAAGGGAAGACTTATCTTTCCATTAACTTTCACCCCAGTAACTTGCCCCATGAGTTCTTTTTTATGACCTAAAATTATTGATGTTTCCCTTCAGGAAATGATCCCTGAGCAACTAAATCTGAAAATTATAAGTGGAGTATTAAACATCTGAGCTAGAAAAGCCTTTTAACATGTGTTAAACTTTAACCACTCACATCCCCCTCGACTGCAGGGGTATTACCTTCCTACCTGTAGATGCAGATGCCTGATGGATACCTGGATCTGCTCCCTAAATCCTGTGTCACACCACACTTTTTTGTTTAATTTTTAATGAGTAATTAATAAATTAAAGATAAATATACAAAATTTATATTAAAATTAATATATAAGAATATAATATATATAAAAATATAAACATATACTATATATTATGCAACATATAACATCCTATAATATATTACAATATACAATATTATATGAAATCATAATATATTATAATTATTATAAAATATATAATTATTATAAATTGTTATTATAAAATATAATTATTATAAAATGTTATTATAAAATATATTATAATTATTATAAAATACATTGTAATTTGTTACATATTATATATAATGAAGTATATAATATATATATACTATATAAAATAAATATATATAATTTATGTTTTTAAAGACAGATATTTAAGGACTTTTGTGAGGCCAAGAGGGAGGAAGGTTTATCTTATGTCTCCCCACTTCAGGAATAATCACTTGGGTGATTACAGAACTAACAACAGGCAGACTGAGAGCAGGCATTGGAAACACGTGTTGGATTCCATCAATTCTGGAAACAATCCAAGCAGGGAAGCAATTCCATGTGACTTATGCAATCAATAGCAGATTGCACACCTCCAGCAGCTCTTGTTTACTCACTGAACTCTCAGTTCCTACTCAGAGCTAACAAAGGCCCCTCCAGACACGTATTCTGTGCCAAACAACCCCCTGTGCCAGAGTGCAAACTGGGAGCATCCCCCTGTGGAGGGCTTTGGGAGACCCCACTGAGCTCCCAAGAGCTTGGGGCAGGATAAGCTCCCCCAGGTACCCTTGCAGGGCACGTGGTTTGCCCGAGTCCTGGCAAAGGGAGGTAAAAATCCTGGACAAGGGGATCCCACACCTGTGTTGGTGGCCAGGACAACGCTGGCGTGGCTGAGGGCTGAGGCCATGGCAGCTTCTTCTCGCTCCTTCAGCTCCTTCCTCAGGGTCTTTATCTCACCCAGGAAATGGCTCCGCTCTCCCTTGTCCTGGGCCCTTTTGGTCTTTGCCTAGGAAACAGAAAAATCGGGATGGAACCAACTGTTTCTGGTCAGCTCAGTCCGTCCAACAGCCAAGCCTGTGACCTGCCAAATCTGGACACGGAGCAGGAGGTAATGTTTGGGAAGAGGGGTCTCGTGCCTCTGCTGGGTGAGGGTAACTGGGATTTCCTATCTCCTTCTGCTCTGGGAAGCTCTGCCCCTCTGGCTCCTGGAAGCAGGAGGGCTCCCCAAGCCACAGCAGCAACTCTGCCCCTTCAAACCAGCAGCTCTGGGCTGCTCTAAGTGACTCAGAGCAGCATCTAGACAGGCCCATGGCTTTTTTTAGCAGCACTATTAAATATATCTAACACATCAAACCACCAGCACTGGGCACCAGCACTTCCAGACCAGCGGCCACAAGACCTCAGCCCAGCCATGGCTCGCTGCAGGCACCCTGAGCAATCCCAGAGGGAAACTGGGATAATTTCCCTGGAGGTAATGACTTGATAATCAAGATGAAGTGTTGCAGACAGAAGCTTTTACATGGAGCCAAACCAATAAGGCTTGATTGTTCCTACAGTCACGCTCCAGATGGATGGATTTCCCAGGGTCTAACGTGGATCAGCTCATGCTGCAGCCTCTGCTCAGCCTGTTGAACTTGTGGGTATTTAAAACTCCGAAACCTCCACGTGTCTGTCAAGTGGAGTGAAAATGGGCTGAGAAATTCCAGGTGGGAGATGACAGAGAGGCAGATCCCTGACCACACAGGCACCTCTTCCTTAGCTGGACCTGAGGGACAGGTGGACTGAGCTGAAGGAACAAAGCAAATGAGCATCAACTTCCTCCCTGATGGAACCAGGAATATCAGAGAGGCAAGCTGAGAGCGCCAGCAGGGCCAAGGGGAATGTCTGTTCTTCTGCAAAGATCCAGTGAATAAATTAACCACAGCAACTGTTCTCTGATGATGGATTGTGACACTCAGATCCAAACATCTGCCTGATTCTGGGCTCTGGAAGCAGCTTAGGGAGCAGGGAGCACATTCCAGAGGGAACAGAGCACAGGATGGTGACTGGCACATGGTCAGACTGGATCTCACCCAGCCCTAATTAGGGCTCCATGGGTGCCACGAGGCTCTAATTGTCCCCACCTGTCTCATCTGGGCCCCCACCCACCCACTCATTGGTCTGGGAGCTGTATTTAAGGCCAGGCCAGGCTGAGCCTGGTTTCCTTACTGGATTACCTGCTTCATCCCCCTGGACCTGGACCTGGACCTGGACCTGTGCTGCCTTTCTTGTTCAGGTACTGTGGGGCTGCAGTTTTGCTGGTGCAGAGCATCCAGGAGCTGAGATCCTGGGAAGCTTGAAGCCAGCTGAGGAGGGCAGGAGGCACAAAGGGGCAGGAAGTGCCCAAAGAGAGCACAGGGTTTTATTTCTGTCACTGGCCCTCCTGTGGTTTGGGGTTGTGAGGAAGGGGAGGAGTGAGAAGAGTCAAAGTGTGGAATTGCAAAGGAAGAAATTATTACAGGGACAAGTAGGGAACGTGGCAGGGGAGAAACTGAGGCAGGAGGGGGGAAAGACGGGCCAGGACTCCAGAGGTGAGGTTTCTGCAGCCCAGAGAGAGAGATGGAACGAGTCAGGGTCATGTTCTCTGACAGACCTGACTGTGGGCAGCTCAAAACAAGCTGGACTACAAGCCTTGGTGGCCAGTTCCTCCCTCCCACCACCATGATCCTCTTCCTAGGGAGGAAGCAGATGGAGACCTCAACCCTGAAGGCTCTGCTTCCTCCCTAATTTCCCTTCTACTATGGAGAATCAACAGTGAAAAAACCCTCAGCTTTCCAAATGTCTCCCAAGGAGAGGAAAAGCAAAATTAATCACTAGTGAGAACGATGGAAAATAAATTAGGAAGTAAAAAATGGCTTCTGGACAGTGCTGTCACCAGAAGGGAAGGGAAAATAACTTAGTATCAAAACCTCATCCCAAAGAATGGAGCTACTTTGTAAGTTAAATTTAGGAAAACTAGGTTGAGAAAGAAGAAATTAAAGATGCATTTTTAAATGTGCTCTGCTTTCTACTTGAGGTGGCTGAGAGTGGGAGGGAGTGTCAGGACAGGCAGACAGCTCATTAGGAAGTGAATTAATGATGGGAATGTTTCTCTGGTGAAGAGGATGGCAGGAACCATGCCAGACACACGATGTGAGGGGCAGGGCACACCAGCAGGGACTGTGATTCTCCCACTTCCGTGAGGGATTCAGCCAGGAGGAGTTCTGCCTTCCAGCAGATGGAGATCACGGAATCCCAGAATGGTTTGGGTGGGAAGGGACCTTAAAGCCTGTCCAGTGCCACCCCTGACATGGGCAGGGACACCTTCCACTAGCCCAGGTTGCTCCAAGCCCTGTCCAACCTGGCCTTGGACACTCCCAGGGATGGGGCAGCCACAGCTTCTCTGGGCAACCTGTGCCAGGGCCTCAGCATCCTCACAGGGAAGATTTTCTTCCTAATATCTAATTTTCTGACTTCCAATCAGAGTAAATGGGATTAATCCAGGCCACTCTGGATCCATTCCCAGCTCTTGCTGCACTTTGCCATTATTTTTCTCGCCCCTGAAGTGTCCTTTTGTCCTGCTGACTGGCCACAAACACAGACTCACCAACAACCCCCCTGCCTGGATACAGGAGGATCCAGAATGAGCATCCCTGGGGGCTCGTGGTATCCTGAACCCCCAAATACCTGGTTTAACCAGGGTATGCAGGTTGGATTATGTCAGGACTAGTCACTGACTTGCCTCTAGTCGCTGATTTTTGGGATAACCCGGAGCACAGGTATCTAAGAAGTGGCAGAGCTGTCCCTTATTTTAGGGAGGACTGTGGATGGGGTGCTGCAGCCAGGCAACACATGTGGGATGAGCTGCAGGGACACGTACCCAGGCCTGGTCGATGTCCTTCCTGATATCTGCCACTATCTGGGCGTCGTCCCCACGGGCCAGGACTGCATCCAGGGAATGCTGCTGGATGGGCTCCAGCAGGCGAGCGGGGTGTCCCAGCCGCAGGATCCGGGCCTTGCAGCTGGCCAGCCTTTCCACCAGGTTATCCA